ACTAAAGATACGACTTTCGTCGTTTAGTACATAGGGAGTCAAAGGGAGATAACATGCATTCATTTTCCAATATTGAAATCATAATGTGTTACGGTGTAATATGCACAATCTTAATTATGACTGAAAATAAATTTTGAAAAAATCGATCGACCATTTAGTTGTTTCACATATTAAAATTGAGGTGCCAGATAGATCTCATAGACAGAAAACGAAATTGAGCATAATATCTGCAATTCACAGTGTAGAAACTGTTTCTCGATGTAGTACAGATTTCAACTTTAACCTTTGAACCCTTTCAATAATTACAGTAATCACAACATTGCTTTCTTTAGCTCGGAAAATTCCTTAACATCTAAAAATATTTTCTATGCACCCGATCATGTTCGTTTTTTCCGTTATTTTGGTGTTTTTATAGGCACGAGAGTACAGTGCTGCTGGGGGTAATACACGCAGAGGTTGTTGAAATTTATATTTGAACCCTTTCCTTTGATACCATCATTCCAAATTACGTAGTCCATTACCGTCATTGTTTCAGCTTATTACGAACTGTGGCCTTGACTACATTGGCTGTCTCCTTTCTTGTGCCACGGCAGTATATAAGTGTAGCGATTTGGTTAGATTTTATTTTTTTTTTTTTTTTTTTTTTATGGTGTATACGCTAACATAAAATCCTACCAAATTGACACATTTACACACTTAAATTACATAATAAAGATGGCTATTGCTGTGAAGGTATAAGACAAAGTTCCTTTTAACTTGACATTATGGGGGAATCCCATATCTTTCGAAGGGAAAACGAACGGCATTGACACTGGGTGGAGTATCTTTATAGCTTAAGGCAATAATCGCATAACTACATTAGTAACCGACTCATCTTTCCATTCTAACATACCCCTCTGGGAATTTAAATTAGGAAATGTACATGAGAGTGTACTATATAAGGCTTTAAACCACCAACCAGCATGAAATGACAACTGACACCTTGATTCATCATAGTTGAGATTTTGGTCATACGTTGAAAAGACAGTAGCAATAAGTGAATAACTATCCTGAGGATATCCGAAGCTGCAAGCTGTAGATACATTTAGACTGAAGTCTCCTTAATTGAAAATCCGAACATTGTATACCGCAACTAAACCCCGGTCCGCTGAGGTAAATGTCTAATCTAAAGTTGGCACCATTATTGGTCAAATCGAATATATTCTGTAATCCTAACCAATATTCAGAATGGGTGTTACCAAATCCGTTCACATAGTCATTCCAGGTACGATTAAAGTTGACTTCCACCGAATCCGAACGTCGAACTTGAATATTGGTCATACCATTATTAAAATCACACAGAACCTCAAATATCTTGTTAGTCGGTTTAACATACGATAGAGATAGACCTTTAAAGTTGTAGTCCTTTCCATTATAACAATCTGAAAAATTTAAACCCTTTCGGATTATATCTCCTCTCTATCAAAACTCTTATCAATAATCGCAAAATATGCTTTATGATATAAAGCCCTTCGTTATCAGTGACGTCATCAAACACTTAGTTTTAGCAGTGAAATTGCAGGAACCACATTAGAACACCTCTACTTACTATTCAAATAAGTATGAGCATTTCCATTTTCATAAATAAAAATATGGGAACCTATCTTTAATGAAAGTAATAGAATGTAGGTGGTAGCTAGTCCTTGGCGACAATTTATGACTTACAATTTAACGATTACCTATAATCGTCGTCATTCAAAATCAATGGAATCAATCAAACTATCCATAACTTGTTTTTAATGTTAAAACTAATCGCCAATTAATTTATCAAAATTGATTTTAATGCACTGAAGTAACTTAGCCAGTTGTCACGCCAATGGGGGTATGCGGCGATTGGGAGAAGACATTAGCAAGAAAATACAGTTTGGACCCCTACCGCTTCAGTTCTAGGAAATTTTACAATATCTTCATGCATTTTAGAATTGGCTAATGATCACAGTCAAATTTCCTTAAAGCTACCATTCTCTAATTAAACTAAAAAATATTATTATAATAATAATATTAAGTCTGGCATTCCGCCATTAGAAACATTTTTTATCAACAAAATAATATGGAGACTGCCAGTAGTACATATGGCGGACCAAATGCGGATAAGCAAGCTTTTTTTTTTAACTATAATTAATTTTAGTACAATTAAAACATGATAGCTTTAAAAGAATATATCACAATATTTATCTATTTTTTTTCAAAAATTTCCAAGGAGCTAGACATTGATAGTAGGCTATATCATTTTGATAGATTTTGATAGCACTAAAAGTGTTAGAATAGCTTACTATGATAGTGACTTTTGGTGCTAAATTTAACGTTAAAAGTCTATTGATTAGGCTATATTTTAATGATAATTGATTATTGTTTCAAAAAAATTATTGATTATTACTTCAAGAAGTTAATTGATTATTGATTCATAAAAATTATTCAATGTTCCCACTTTATAGGTAATTAGGGTTATTACCAGGGTGAAATCCCCCTGGTTTAGGGGGTCGAAATGTCACCATCAATGGTCAAATATAGAGGACAAGTTATAATCTCGAGACTGATCCGGACAAGCATATTATTAAGAATAATCTTGTTCCTATTGAGCCCTAGTCCGAAACATCTGCCTTTATTCCAGCCTGCAGTGGCATAAAATTTAAAAAAACTATCAGAGGTTTGAATAGAAACAAATTCAGTCCAATTGATTCATTTGTTTTCCAACAGATCGGACCAAAACGAGCAAATATACGGTGGTAAACAAACAGACTACGGACATTTGAATGCCTTGTGTTCAACTTGTTTCTCATGAATACCATTGATTCTTATCTTCATGCATTGGAATCATAATACGAGAAAAAGAAATAATTACAAACCTTTTATAATGTATTCACAATTTGTACCATAATAACCAACTGGATTGACACAGTGGGTACCGTCGGACTGTTTTAACTAGAATATAAACAAAATATTAGAAGGCATTATACGGTGGTTCGTATACCACATCATTTATTTTTTTTTAATTTTGAATTTAAAACTTGAATTTCTACCCAGGTGACAATTCTAGAATTTTTCATTAAAAACTTGAATTTCTATCGGATGAAAATTAATTTACAATCATTTAAAGGTAAATACAACATTGATTCTCTTATATGGTGTAGACATCACACTTTTAGCTTAATGGATATAAATCAAGATAGATGTGGTTTTACTTATGTGCAAAGTTGTACCTGAGTTTATCAAGATCGAAATACAAAATAAAGTTAGTATATATCTAGAATAAGACCAAACTTTCATTTTTCATTTCATTTCATTTCGAATATAGCCACTTCAGTTAGGGTCTAACGGCAGCCCTCTTGAATGAAAATCTGACGATATCAATATTGATTATTTTTCGTAAGAAGGGGCCAGTGGCTTTTGGTAGTGCAGAGGTGGGGTGAACAGGGTGAAAAAGGTTGAGAAGCACTGCTCTAACTGATGTGGCTTTGTCATAAATAAAAGCCAATAAAAAAGATAGTGGACCACAGCCATATACGCCCACCGCGGCATGCGGATGGTAAAAACGAAACATCCATTTTAAGTTTCATCAAAATTGGCTGAAAACTAAATAATAACTTATTCAAGATTTTGGGGCAAGGGCAATAACTCTGCTTCTAACGGTCGAATATAGCTCAAATTCGAACTTGATCTTCGTTTTGTGAATATGTATACACATACCGAACTTCATTTGATTCTATCAAAAAATCTAGTTTTTAGAGCATTTACAAGCAAATGTTGACGGACGGACCTTCGTTTCAAGAATATGTATGCACATACCGAATTTCATTTGATTCCTTCAAACACTCTAGTTTTTAGAGTGTTTACGAACAATTGATGTTGATAGAAGCCTTCACTGTATAGAGGTTAAAGGGAGATGGCTCCTCAAAACTGATTTAAGAGGCCTAAATCTTGAAAAATCCTTAAATCTAATCAGAAGTAAACTAAACTTTCTCAAACCTTTCGATTTAGTCCAATAACATCCATTTTAAGTTTCGTCAAAATCGGTTGAAAACTAAGGGAATAATAGCATATTCATGATTTCGGGGCAAAGGCAATAACTCTACTTCTAACGGTTGAAAATAGCTCAAATTCAAACTTGATCTTCGTTTTATGAATATGTATACACATACCGATTTTCATTTGGTTCCATCAAAAAATCTAGTTTTTAGAGCGTATAAAAGCAAATGTGAGATGTGGGCGTATAAAAACGAATAACATTTTGGTTTAATTTTATTTAAAAAATAAAGATTGTCGTTCATATCGATGACAAAAAAAATACTTACCTTTCTGTAAAAAACGCTCTCTTTGTTTGAAAGCTCAGACTGTGACGCAACACAATTTTCACCATCGGAATATCTGTAACACGATTTGTCGTGCGTAGTAATATCCGTAGTGACCATATATTTACGGCATCCGTAATCTCTGGTACACAGTTGAGAACATTCCTGATTATGTATAACAGGATCTGTAAACATCGGTTCAATTCGTACAGATTCATTTTCAACAATGACGGATGTTTTTAAATATTTTGACACAAGCATCGCTTGACAAAAGCAAAATTTTTGAAATAAAAAAATGGAAAAAACAAACTCTATGAGAGTCGAGCCACACTCCATGTCGGTTGCTCTTTTTTTGTGCCACCGATTGTCTATATCGAGCTGATAGTATTTGAACTAAATTTTGATCGATCAGTTACAAAGTTACATTTTAAAAAAATTTCTACCAAGTCAATTGCTATGTTTCCGGTTTTTTATCATGTTAGTTGATCATAAAGAACATTTATATAAAAGAACATAACATTAAGTCACTAAAGTATGTTTCAATGGGGAAGGGCAAGGTAAAGTTGCTAGAGACATTATAATCATTTAGGCCACTGCTCGCCGATTTTGCTGGTAAAACTAACATCCGTGAGATCCCAAAGCCCAATTCTTCATCAACCAAGAAGAATAATCCAATGAAATTAAAATGAAATGTTATATTCTTGTAAGATAATGACTAAAAATAAAGTTTAATTGGTGAGCTGATAAGCTAGTATCTCTCTATTTGAGTTACCTTTGCAGTGGCTCAACTACCAAGGGGACTGATTGAATCATTTCCCCACCCCTAAGGGCCCCCATCCCCAGAAAGAAAATACAAAATTAAAAAACAATGTATATCAAATTGTACAATTACAATCAAACTAAGCAACTAGCAATATATAAATGAGTAAAATAGCAGACCAAAAATCTTCCATTAAAGGGACAAGTGCGCCATTTTTTACCAAACGGGAACTCTTTAGCTAACCCAATCAGTAATAATGTTCACGGTTCACCGTCGAAATTTGAGCCTTCAAATCCACGTGTGTCCAGAGTTATCCGCGTTTGAATGTTAAAATGACGACTCGTCAATTTAAGATACTCTGTGATATATAGAAAAAAAACATATATAGAAATAGTGAGTATATTTCCTAGTTTGACTTATGTTTAAAGGAATTATGCAATTTTCGTCCATTTCTAGTACTTCTGAAGGCTATAGTTACATATATTCAAGACTCAAATCAACTCACCAAAATGCCACATCTAACCCTTTATCAAGCATTGAATGGTCTCAGAATGCAGGGGAGCATAATGTTACAAAAATATTTCCCGGGGGCGGGACCCTACTTAAGTCTATAGGCTCCCATATATCTAGTTGAGACACTGTATTTTTGCCATATAAATGTTAAGGTTTAAACTTAATCATTTTTACAAAATATGTTTCTTAATAAGATGTAAATGTTGAAGCCTTCATAAATGTATATGTCTATTCATGGGGATATTGATCGTTTGTTCGGGTTTTGTAGATACAAATTGTATATGAACTGGAAATTTGAGCAGGTTTAATGTACTCATGTACATTGTGGTTAAAGTAAATAGCGACTTCTTTAATTAACGATTGTCTACATTAAATCAACGCTTGTCAATAAATTTTAGAAATACCAAATTACTATTGATTAGTTTTAGTCTAATCAGAACGAAAGAATCATCGATATCTTTATAAGGACAACAATCTAGATTCTGAGATTCAATCTTCAAGCTTCTTCTTTGAATTATAAATCAAAATTCTTTTTAACACTCGCAGCTTGAGCGGAATCAGAAAGGTCAGTAGACCGAGATCCATTTGGATTTTACGACCGAAACATTTTGAATTTCCGCCGAATATTTATGAAATGCGACCAAAATGGTCTAATTTAAATAGTAACGTTTTATAAACGTTCTACCTCAAGGGAGGGAATTCATTTCCATTTTTATCTGGCCACTGAGGCTACTTATAAAAATATTCTAAATCCTATTTTCGTCAAAATTTTGCAAGGTCAGCTGTATCAGATAGGAAAAATGGTGGTAGAAGTCACCGAAGACGTCTTCGGAGTACTATAAATCGAAGCAATGCACGGAGGTACAATGAGTACCTCTCAATATAAGAGAATATCCTTTTCCTAGGTATCCGAATTCTTTTCTGCTATATATCAACTATCTAATATCACCTGTCTCACCCTCTACTGCGTCCTTCTCTTAATCTTTAGGTTCATCTTTCTTATACTGTACCCGTCCTCTCTTCTACTTTCGCTGACATTAATCTTTGTCCATTGCACTACTACTGCTCCCTAAAGCCACCAGTTCTCTTAACCATAACTAGCTTTAATTCCGTGCTCTCTACTTCCCCTGTCTTATTCTCCGTGTCTCTACTATCCCTTTCTTTTCTCTGTACTGTTTCGATTCCAATCTTCTTTTCTTTACCTTGATTTCAATTCTATCCCTATTTGCACCTCCTTACTCTTTTCTTCCATTTTTTTTTAAACAATATTTATTCAAGAATTACAAATATTACAATATACATATAGATAAACATATGGTTTTGGAAACAAGCTTTAAAGCTTATATAAATCCATTACCATTCAAAATTAGTTACAATACGATACAATACAAATTAGGGAAAAATTTACAAACTATTTACACTAAATGAGGTTCTCTCAACTGTATCAAGGTTGTTAGACAGCAGATATGGTTCAGTAAATTTAATTGTATGGATGAAATAAAATATGTTTGTTGGAGGTTTTGCTCATCGAGGTTTCGGTAATCGGCATGGCCCAACAACGACCCTGGTCGATCGAGGCTAATATAGAGAACTGGAATGTCTTACGAAGATAAACAGGTGGAGGTAAGGGCTAGATCAACAGTTTGGCATGAGTAAATGGTAGGACTCAATAGAACGAACCATAGGTAAGCTTCAATAGAGCTAGCACAAATTAGGTAAGTATCAATAGAACGAGCAATAAGTCAGGTAAGCCTCAATCGAACGAACCATAGATCTATAGAGATCAGGTTTACCTCAGTAGAACGAACCATATATCAGGTATGACTCAATAGTACGAGTAATGGATCAGACAAATCAGGACTTTTAATAGACCATCAATAGGACGAACAATGAATCAAGTTAGCCTCAATAGAATCAACCGTAGATCAGGTAGAACTCAATTCCATTCCACTCTTCCATTCTTTATATATACCTGTCTCGTCGCCTCCTACCCCTCTTTCCTAAAGGTGCAGGCACACAAACGGTTTCGGTCGCCGATTACAGTCTTGTCACAAAATAAAAACTTAAGTCGATAGTTTTCCACATTGTCGATAATCACGTGCGGAACATGCAATTGAATCTGATTGGGTGATGAAGGTCTGTTTTGCAGACGATAAAACAATCGGCGACAAATATCACAATGGTTTGATATTATAAATCCTGTCGGCAACGTGATAATCTTGTCGTAGAAGCACTGGCAAATTTTACTCAGCGACCAAGAACGTTCGTGTGCCTGCACCCTTAGCTGAATTCATTGTATCTTATCTATACCAATTATCAATTATGATAATACTTTATCATTTAACACTTCATTAGAGAGATCGATCTGAAATCAATCGACCACTGCTATCGTCACATAAACGTGCTTGTACATTCGGACAAGATAACCGCTTTAATATCCACTTCCAGTCACTTGCAAACTTTGGTGCTTTTTTTGCTATAAAACCTCAAATACTGCAGTGCCATATCACTACACCTGAAAGAAATAGTTGATCACTGCACCGTGACATAAACTGGTAGATTTAGACAAGATAACCACTTTAGTTTAATATATTTATATAGCTAAAATAATTTGCATATGATAACATATTATTAATGTTTGTAAAAGAACACCCACCGAAATAAAATGAACTTGTGATTTGCGTCCTACATTTTTTTTCCTCGTGAAGGATTGCAATGCAGTGTGCAACGAGAAAATAATTGTCAGGAAAGTGATACAAATTCGACTTTTATATTTCTCATTTTGTCGAGTAGGGGTCTATATGGTGCTTACGAGGTATTGCGATATACAACTTTAAGATAATTTCAATCTACTGCTTATATAGCACGAGATATCTGGCACTAATCGTTCCTCGGACATCCTAAGATATTGATACACCTAAATTTTGTACTCTTCTTCAATTCAGGGAAATTTTTATCAAAGTCTTTGAATGGTGCCAAATTCGACGATATCTCTAACATTTTATTTATCAAATTGTCCAAAAACATACACGACATATCATATTTCGTCAAACTTTAAACAATTGATTAGTCATGCATACTAACAAATGTGAACCAACACTCAAACAGAGCAATAAATCGAGTCTCTGTATGTTTTAAAATTAACAGCTGTTTACTTGTCCACTTGAAATAAATAATAGAGAGAATAATACAACTTAAGTGGAGACCATAGTTATCAAGTGATTTAAATTTTACGTCTTCAACCTTCCCAGATCTCTAATTAAAATTAGACCAGACTTTCGATCAGTTTTTTCATTAGCTTGTATTTTTTTATTTAGCTAGCCACTTCAGACTTACTTTAAATTATATTAAAAATAAAATGTAATAAAAATATATCTTGTCAGTAATATGCGCCCACCGGCAGCTATGATTTTGAATAAAAATATTTGGTAGTACAGTAACAATTACGAGTATGATATATCAACCTTACACTTCTTTTGAACTTTTTGAGGCCATACTGAATAGTATTACCAAGTTGTGTCCAAATTTGGCAAGACATGTGCCTTTTAGTGTTTACGAGCTAAAAATTGAATACTAAATATTTTTCGATTTTTCTGAATTTCAATAGAGTTCATGCTTGGATGATTACAGAGACTCACACCAAGTTTCGTCAAAATTTGACAAGAATTGCGCCTTCTAGAGTGTTAATAAGCTAAATTTAAACGCGTTTTCAAGAACAAGGGCAATAACTCATTCTACTTATTTTTCGATTTTTCTGAATTTCAATAGGGTTCATACTGGGTGATAACAAACACTCACAATAAGTTTCGTCAAGAATTGTGCTTTTTAGAGTGTTTACGAGCTAAAGATTGAATGCATTTTTAAGGACAATTAGGAAAATAATTCATACTTGATATTTTTCGATTTTTTTAATTTTCAATAGGGTTTATCCTAGGGTGATTACAAACACTCAAACAAAGTTTCATCAAAATCTGTCAAGAATTGCGCCTTCTAGAGTGTTAATAAGCTAAATTTAAACGCGTTTTCAAGAACAAGGGCAATAACTCATTCTACTTATTTTTCGATTTTTCTGAATTTCAATAGGGTTCATACTGGGTGATAACAAACACTCACAATAAGTTTCGTCAAGAATTGTGCTTTTTAGAGTGTTTACGAGCTAAAGATTGAATGCATTTTTAAGGACAATTAGGAAAATAATTCATACTTGATATTTTTCGATTTTTTTAATTTTCAATAGGGTTTATCCTAGGGTGATTACAAACACTCAAACAAAGTTTCATCAAAATCTGTCAAGAATTGCGCCTTCTAGAGTGTTTAAGAGCTAAAAATTTAACGAGTTTTCAAGAACAAATCACGATAAATATGTGTCAATTCTTTTGATTTTATATAGGGTTCATCCTTGGGTGATAACAAACATTCAATCATTACTATTGAAAACACAAAATGTCTGAGTGCATCATATCTTATAATGAACAACATGAGTTGAATTTAAACGTCTTCAAACTGAGATAAAATATTATCAATAACTAAGGCTAAGGATATAACCGCATCATTACAAACGAGATGTGCACATCGTTTAACGTATCTCTTGGGCTATTTAAATTCATTGTACAGGGCCATGGTGTGTACCACCAACCACCAACTTGTGGTAGCGCACAGCTTCTTGGAGTCGATGGTCGGTCGTACGTTACAAATTGTGCGCCTCTAAAATCTATGTCACCAATAAAACAACCATCGCTCGGTGGGGCTGAGGCAGAAAAGACGAAATCACTGGTAGAATACATTAACTTAAAATTTGGATATAAAATACTACAAGAATGGTTGAGTGTGATGTCCAAATTAAAGCTGGGAACATTATTGGTCAAGTCGAATATATTCTGTAATCCTAACCAATATTCAGAATGGGTGTTACCAAATCCGTTCACATAGTCATTCCAGGTACGATTAAAGTTGACTTCCACCGAATCCGAACGTCGAATTTGAATATTAGTCATACCATTATTAAAATCACACAGAACCTCAAATATCTTGTTAGCCGGTTTAACATACGATAGTGATGTACTTTTAAAGTTTATGTACTGTCCATGATAACAATCTGAAAACATGTAAAGAAAATACATGTATATGTGAATTATTCTCTTATTAGATCTTCTTAAAATCAAAGAAAGTGGTAGGACTCAATAGAACGAACCATAGGTAAGCCTTCAATAGAGCTAGCACAAATTAGGTAAGTATCAATAGAACGAGCAATAAGTCAGGTAAGCCTCAATCGAACGAACCATAGATCTATAGAGATCGGGTTTACATCAGTAGAACGAACCATATATCAGGTATAACTCAATAGTACGAGTAATGGATCAGACAAATCAGGACTTTTAATAGACCATCAATAGGACGAACAATGAATCAAGTTAGCCTCAATAGAATCAACCGTAGATCAGGTAGAACTCAATTCCATTCCACTCTTCCATTCTTTGTATATACCTGTCTCGTCGCCTCCTACCCCTCTTTCCTATTCTCTTATTAGATCTTCTTAAAATCAAAGCCTCCCCTCTCCCGTCTCCTCCACTGTTCCTCAGGCCTAAAACGAGGTTTACCTGCTACAGTTGAACATGGTAGAAATATGCAATAGTTTCGTGTAGAAGAAAAATGCTGGCGTGAATGTAACGTAGAAAAATTACATAGAAAATGATTACAAACCTTTTATAATGTATTCACAATTTGTACCATAATAGCCAACTGGACTGACACAATGAGTACCATTAGACTGTTTTAACTAGAATATAAAATATCAAAAACATACCACTCGTGAGATAAACCCACCATGCACTGGATCAGTAGGTAAATCATAAAGTGTGCGATGATTTGGGAATTACTTAGTTTCATCTTCTGGAAATTAATGGGGATTAGGATAAGATCGTCTGATGAATGGCCGTCCATGTTAAAATGATTAAAAACAGGCTTATTGTCAAGTATTTGACCTATGAGCCGTAAAGCGGGAGCGTAATTATTTGTTGAGTTTCTCCTACATTGTTTGGGAGATTTCTTACATAAATGTAAATTAAATGCGAGATCTCACATGTTAGATGCTCTTGTGTCACCATCTGATATTAAGAGATACAGCCATATTTAATAACCCAAGACCCTGTTGATGTACAGAAGTTTGTGTCACCATCTGATATTAAGAGATACAGCTAAAGTTAGTCCAAGGCCCTGTTGATGTTGTTGCCTGCTCAGTCTGTACGTTTGTGTCACCATCTGATATTAAGAGATACAGCTATAATTATAGTCCAAGACCCTGTTGATGTTGTTGCTGCTCAGTCTGGATGTTTGTATCACCAGAATTGGAATAATATAGAGCAGTGTTGAAAAAATATATTATGTATTTGAAGACTTTTTATCAATAGCACAAATCTTTCAAATCAAATAATTGGAACCGTATTATGACGAATTGAAAAAACAATAGCTGGATATTAAAAAGAAAACTACTCTTTTAGTTTCATAGAAACAATAACACCGATTATCATAAATATAATATACGCTTATAACGTGCTCGTTCGGCAGAATTAATGATGTATGACAAAATAATAGTGTACTTAACGTTGTCGCTAATATTGTGTATAGGTGCAAATAGGAAATATATCTTCAACGAGGGACAGTGAAGTTTTGCGTAAAGACGCTCCCGAGCTCTCTTAAGGGAGATAACAACTACTAGATATTTTAATCTACTTATATAAAACAGAAACTTAATCAGATTCAGATTTAATAGACAAAGTAGACTACGTCAAATATAAAGAACCCACTGTCATGATGTATACGACGTAAAAAACTATTTGAGTCTGGTAATGTGGCATATAAAGCCATTGAAATTACAGACTGCTTTATATATTGTAGGTAACTAGGGCCTATAAAATAAAAAAAAATTGATTTAATTAAGTTTCTTGAATTATTTTTAAAAGAATTACCAACAAAGACGAAATCCTTAATGATGAAATATAAACAAACGACACTATAATAATGTTAATAACATTATAACAAAATTAGTCAAATCTGATGAAAAAGAATTGTTGAAAAGGGTAATAAGTTCATCGTACTGTAAGTTATGTATTGTGAGTTAAAGTGTAACTGTGCATGATTTATTAATTAGTGCTGAATATATCACATTCCAGTGTCTCAATTCCAATGTCTTCATTGTCCCATTGTCGATGAAAATGTAAATAAAAAAGAAACGGAATTATAATAATGGGTGCATCAATAGGTCGATTTTAGTTCTTAATTCTAATTAATCGGAAACATCTCTTCCTGCCTCTGATAGCTATTTTGACACTTGTCGACAGAAGTAGGGCCAGAAAAAGTTGGCCATTTTTATGGAGATTTTTCCGAAGATTCCGAGATTTTAGACCGATCTATTTACCTCGAATCCACAAGACCATCATTATCCCCCCTACATCATTTATGTCAAGTCTGCGGTTCCATCATTTTTAGTTTCATTAAAAAAATCTAAATTTTCGCCCGCCGGCCATCAAAGACTATGTGCATTCAATGAACATATATCACAGGGTCGCGTGATACAAAACGAATGTAGCGTTGATGCTCATGCATCTGGGTTTGATGGATTCAAGGTAGCCTAAATATTATAAGAAAATTCGCATCTTCGCATGGGTGTGGAAAATCCCCATAAAACAGGGCCTAGTTTTCTGACCCTACTCTAATAATAACTGAAAAATTAAATTTCGATATTCTCCAGAAGACAAGTGTGAGAATTGAAATGGAATCTTAAGTCCTCGTTTCTTGCTTCTGATTTGGCTACTGTAGATAGGCATTGTCATGTAGCGTACAATGACTTAAGATTTTCTAAGAATTTTTTTAAAATTCATTAAACGTGCATATCCTGTAGTTCAATGTTGTTGACATTGGCAGACATAAATCGGTTAACATAATCGTAGGTACAAGGTACAATCTCCATCATTGACCTGGTTGAATCTCGAACCCCTCGGATGGCGAGCAAATCTCGGAACTTGCTGAACCCCTAAAACGATATGTTAATTGAGTGGCAAGGTTATCCACCAGTCTTAATACCGGGCTCTATAAATTCGCAAAGAGAAATGCCATCAGGTGTTTCGAAAAGAGTAAGCGTGACACTCGCCACTACTATATAGGTTAACATCAAGAGTTACAATCAGATCAATTTATGCCTGACCAAAAAAATCAGTCAAGATGCAAGAAAGAGATTTGTAATACATGTATTTGTCCAGAAAAGTTCATTATTATAAAATTTCTCGTATGGAATTGATTAGAGCTGAAATATCAGACGCTGCCAATGAGTAAACTGTTCAGATATCAATAGAGGAATTTGATATTGGACATATAAAATTAATGGCAGAGAATCCTCCATGCCAAGTTGTGACGTATCTTCAAGGCTTGTTAATGTTCAGTTTGACCAAGGGCAATAACTCAAAATTATTTTTGCCATAAAGCGATCCAGATCATAAGAATACGCATTTTAAGGGCATGGATTATTAAATTACTTAAGTTACACTGTAATTAGTTCGAAAACACGAATGTCATTTTCACATTCATGGCAGCTTGAATTGCACAAAACATTCAATATGAGCACCTCTACCTCGTCTATTCGAATAGAATCAAAATTGACTTACCTTTCTGTAACAAACACTTTCTTTGTTTGAAAGCTCAGACGATGACGCAACACAATTTTCACCATCGGAGTATCTGTAACACAATTTGTCGTGCGTAGTAATATCCGTAGCGACCATATATTTACGGCATCCGTAATCTCTGGTACACAGTTGAGAACATTCCTGATTATGTATAACAGGATCTGTAAACATCGGTTCAATTCGTACAGATTCATATTCAACAATGACGGATGTTTTTAAAAATTTTGTCGCTAAGATTCCCTGGCCAGAGCAAGGGTAATACGACGTAAGGGCAAAAAGAAAACCTATTAAAGCAGATCCACCTTCCATGGTGGTTGGTCAGTCTTGTGTAGACGATAATTATTGCAACGACTCAGTAAAAAAATCAAATGAAAGACAATGGTTAATTGAACAAAGTCTGAGTTGTCTATGTTACTTAATAGCACTTGATCTATGTCTTTGAATTTCGATCGATGTATTACAATAATAACTTCCAAGTAACACTTTCTCAAATAAATAAATTGAATTCCGTTTTTACTCATAGAAATATTTATCCTAAAAAAATGTTTCCGGAAATGTAACCACTCTAAATAACTTCAAGAATGATTTCAAAAGCCCGAAAACGATATATCCCAGGGGTATTTCGTTGTAATACACTGCCATTTTAAAGACCAATAACGTCATTGGTTTTTTTATGCTTTGAATATGTGCGTGTGGAACTGCCATTAACAGACTTAACATCGACGATGCTTTTTTTAAAATATGCACTGCATTCTGAAAAGTGATACAGGTATCGGATTTTGATGTTTATGGGCCTATTGATTGTATCCCTTTAAGATCTATTTGTATACAATTAATTATGAGATAAGTGGTTTTCAATTTTCATTTTCTTTGAGGAGGTTCAGAAACACCAGTTTAGTACCTAACCTCGGAAAATAAAAAATTTATCAAATTATTTCAAAGATTTATAAAATGCCATTACACCTTCACATCTGGTGCTCCAGCCAAAGATTGACTCTGTTGGAGTTACAGTTCTGTAATAAATCTAAGCTCAGAGAAACTGTTAACGTTGCTGTCTTGACATATCTGTCATCAGTCGATGCCCCGAAAGACAACTGTGACTAGTTATTGTTCTTTGATACATTGTTGCCTGCTCAGTCTTGACTTTTGTGTCACCAGCTGATATTAAGAGATACAGCTATAATTAACCCAAGACCCTGCTGTTGATGTTGGTGCCTGTTCAGAAGTTTATGTCACCAGATGATATTAAATGAAAGAGCTATAGTTAACCCAAGACCCTGATGATGTTGTTGCCTGTTCAGAAGTTTGTGTCACCATCTATATTAAGAGATACAACTATAATTAACCCAAGACCCCGATGATGTTGTTGCCTGTTCAGAAGTTGGTGTCATCATCAACATCAAGAGATACAACTATAATTAACCCAAGACCCCGATGATGATGTTGCCTGTTCAGAAGTTGGTGTCATTATCTATATTAAGAGATACAACTATAATTAACCCAAGACCCCGATGATGTTGTTGCCTGTTCAGAAGTTGGTGTCATCATCTATATTAAGAGATACAGCTATAATTAACCCAAGAGCCCGATGATGTTGTTGCCTGTTCAGAAGTTGGTGTCATCATCTATATTAAGAGATACAGCTATAATTAACCCAAGACCCCGATGATGTTGTTGCCTGTTCAGAAGTTGGTGTCATCATCTATATTAAGAGATACAGCTATAATTAACCCAAGACCCCGATGATGTTGTTGCCTGTTCAGAAGTTGGTGTCACCATAGTATTCACCATACGTGTATTCCGATTAACGCTAAGGATGTCAGCACTTGGATTAAACACAATCATGGTGATTCCTTGGAATTGTCTTTCGATATTATAACAGCGGATTAAAAATTCCGTAAAACTACAATACACCATTTAAATTTTCCCTAAGCGATTGGAATACCGTGCTGTAATAGCCGTTTCTCCGAATGTAATTAGCCCAAGTGCTGACACCCTAAGCATAAATCGATATACATGTATGGTGAATATTATAAACTGGTTTTGAAAGGAATAATCTAACAGTAAGAAGTGCTTTTACATAAGATACAAGAGGGTAATGTCATCGATTTTGGCCCATAATATTATCAATAAGAGTCATCAGCATCTCTTTCTAAAATATCACTGTGTCTTGATAGATCTTGAGGTATTCGGACTGTCATTTCTATCAATGAAGGGTAGTAAAGGATTTTGAGATGTAGTAGTATGTAAGACACTCTGTGACAGTGGTTTCTGTTCTCTTTTCGGCATTTCATCCAAAACTTCATCAGCGATGCATAGTTCTGATAGTCTATGCTTTCTGACCTGTTTCATATGTCCTTGGCGCATAGTTTTTGACAATTTGGGAAGAACCAGACAGTTTTGGCTGAGGTCAATCCTTGGATAGAGGTGATGTTGAATCTCTTCGGCAATGAATCTGTTGGTTTCTTCAATACATGCTGAGCACGATCCAGGACCAAGTATATCGCAATATTCCCCGTTGGTACCTTGATGGTTTTGACAAAATCGAACTCCGCGTAATGACTTATGATTAGATACAACTACAATACCAGGAGGCTTTGCTGCTACTCTACAGTTCATTACGGATTCGGCTTTTGTTTCTGGGCGAGGCATTCCATATCCTAAAAAGGGAACTTTCGGAGCTTGATAGAAATGATGCATGATTTTCTCGGATATATTATATGGTGAAGGAACACTCTTCATATACTTCTGAATGTATTCTCTTTCCTTTTTCTGTTCCATATTTGATGGCAGGAATCGTTTTGGGTTTTTGCGCTTTCTTTTCATCTCGTCATCTAGAAGATTCAGTGACGTCTTATCTATTGTGTATATTGATCTGAAATACATCAGAAGTCATCGATTACATTGGGCAAGTGGTTAATAAAACTGGAAATAGGATATGGACAATTTACCTAGCAGGCAAACCATTTAAGGTGGAATAGCTTTGAAAACTAACAAGACTTCTCTCTCATGATTCGACATGCTACTGGTCACTCTTATCTGTAAATTAATGTCCAAAATTGGCAAAATGAGATGTTTTTGACCAAACCAGTGTGTCAGATCTTTAATTTTTTTTTATCCCACTTGATTGTAAGGTGTCCTTGATTATGGTAATGGTACTATCAATTTGGGTAACTCGTTGAGTACAATGGGTTTTATGATTTTTTGAAAGGAACGAATTAGTTCGTTGCTGCGTACGAAATCTTGGTTTATCGCTCTTACGGACAGTACAATCTAACCACAGTTTCAAAATCATTTTCATAAAAAGTGTTTTCATGCCAGCTGATATGGTAAAACTGTTTAATAGAAAAAACAGAAAAGCTACATAACGTTTTCTTAAAGGATTTCTATTGAAAGATTGTTGATTTGCAAAACTTACTATTCCTCCGTGAGAAAATGCTTCTATTTCCTTCAGGCATATTCATATTAGTAAGCAGTGATCGATATTAAAACGCTGAAATAACCCCCGGTGAGATAAAATCTTTATAAAGTCAATATTATTTTTAATGTACATGTACTTTGAATGGTTAAAGGCCTGTACCAAACGGGAAGTGGTGCCACAGGTCATGTTTTGATACAAACTAGTTCTGAGATTTGTTATTTTTCAGACAGTATTGATCAGATGTGATCAATACAGTGATGTCACTTTTATCTTGGATCAAGTGATCCCCACTGACCATGTGAATGTTGATTTTACATTCTTTTGTTGTCTCTCAAAATGATCACTCTGAATCAAATTTTCTAAAGCTGTTTTTGTCGTAGATTGCCTTAGGGTGTAAGGAGTTGTGAAGCTTTTGTACTGTTATGTTTAAAATCAACGCAATTTCCGTAAGAAATTTGGCTCAATCTTTGTTGTTGAAATGAAATCTTAACTCTTTGGTACATATGAAAAAAAGATTGCAAAAAAAGTTCCGTTGACCTAAACGAGTTCAGAGCCTCAATGTTCATATCAGAATATTGATTTGATACATTTTGTGGTGTCAGGGCCTTTCCTTCTCGCACCTATACCCCATCTACCCTACAAGGTTTTGCCTTCTTTGTATTCTTACCCGTGATCTGTGATATTTTTGGGTAATCGTGATGATCTAGGTGTATCAAGACTAACTGTATCATCTTGTGGTTTCCATAATTTATCTTCTAATAACGGTCCTCTCCACGTCCGAACATCTCGATTTTCGTGAAGGACTTCGTATAGATAAGGTTCTCTGAAGTTGAAACATGGGTTGATTATGAGAAGTCTTTGAAGCAATGGGTAACCTTGCTTCTTGATTTTATGACTCTCGGAGAAGTTTCTTATCTAGAAAACAATCGTTTCAAAGTGCCCTGATAGGATGGGACAATAAACAGACAATAGACTGTGAATATAAAAAGATGTAGACAGCTGACGAAAGTTGGAGACAGAAAAACATTTAGCTATAGCCACTGCAGCTAAACATCTCTCATTGAATATGGTGTGGGCTTGACTCAACCATAAGATAAAATATAGCAGCATATGAATCAAACGATAAACTTCAGGTTATATCAAAGTAGTAGAGATATTTTACAGAAAAAATAATTAGTCAGTTAATAAAATAGACATCAAATTTCAAAACATATTATAATGTTATAAGTTATTTGTCGCTTCCTACCTCTCAGATATGATATCACGTATTTGAGCCTCAATATCCATAATGTCTTGTCGACTGGTCAATCACACGGAGAATGGATTAACCCAGCCCTATAGTCATTCCGTAATCCGTTAATCCATTAAATAATCCCTTTCTAATACTAATCTTGTGTAGTTACCGACAATCCTATTGAAATAACCATTTTTCATAACCATGTTAAGAGTGGGTAACGGTTTTCAGGCGATTTGCTCGACATTGGCATTCCAGTTATACTTCAGAAAGTGTCTAAATATTGCTTGGTGGTAATACATGAATGGAATCCATTGCCATTTTTCAAGAGTTTATGTAAAACCGCTTTGTTTTGTTACCTTTGCAATCTTTCTTACAAATAATATTGGAAAGAGCATTATTAAGAGGTTTAGCTAAAGATATTTTAACACCAATGATGCACAGTTGCGAATAATGAAAGTGGCATACCTTAGTCTCAGAAACGGGGATTTTTGGCTAAGCTGATAAGAAGTATAGTGTTCAAATCCATGTGTGTCCAGAATTATCCGCGTTTGAAAGTTTAAAAGACAACTCGTCTTTTCTGGACTCATTGATTCCAGAACCGCTTGCAAAATAGCAATAGTAACAACAGGTTGTATTACAATAATATATTTATTTCCAATAAAAGTGATCCATCCGGCTGACAACAAACAACTGGATTAAACTAACTAAAAATCTTGGTGAAGCCAGCTGGTACAAAAGCCCCTTGACCTAAATTCTCCTTAATTTCTTATCAAATTAAAATCATATTGTATAACTTTATATTATAACATACTTCTATATATCAATCTAAAAGATTTCTTTATTTGAAATGGTTCCACACAACATCCAAAAAAAGAAAAAGTTCAGCTGTTAGCTAAAGATTGCAAAGTTTCTTAATCTAAATAAGGGGTAAAGATGGCTGATAGTTTAATTCAACATTATAATAATAAAGAAAGGATTTTGGCCTATCTGAAGCACGATAAATCAATATTTCAACAAAAGAGTTCACTATGAAAGTATGGCTATCACTCTAAACTGAACAAGTGTAATTCAACTGAAGTCATCAGCAAAATATATCAACGGAAGTTGGTCGTCAATTTTCCTTCAATACAGTCTAAGAGTTTTGTGGTGCTTAATCTTAGCTTTATAAGTCATGAAAGGATGAATTATACTATATAAAAGGGGTTTTCTAGGCTTCGTATGTGTATCAGGAACAGTTATTTTTCCACCATTCTGACTTTCTGTCTTATATTATGTCTGTGGTTCCTGTAATTTCAGAAACCTGACCAGATTATGATAGAGTCAATGAAGCAAAAATTAGCTATAAGTGTCCATTATACACATACAATTTGATAAACCTCTTTGAAAGCTTTTTAAAAAAAAATTATGATGTTAACTTAAAACTTAACCAAGCAATATCTATCACTCTATAAAGCCCCCAGTTCTAATCTATCAAATAACATTGGAACAAATGGAAAGGGAGAAGGAAAGGAAAAGCTGCCATTTAATCACCATAGAAAGGGGGACAAACCACTACAGAGCTACTACATAAAAAAAACTAAACCAGAGACTAAGTTACACAAATATTTCATATATATAATTCAGTTTTAAAGAATACAGTTGCTTTTTCATCTTTTTCAGAGGTCAAAGTTACCCAACTCCAAATTCAGAGTTCAGTAAGTGGATAAATTTCAGCTGTCCTTGTCACTTTTCAGAATTAAACAGAAATGTGTGGTTCATCTATAATTCAACAAAAATATTTCATGTCTTTCCCTTCAGACCATTAATGACATTCTCACTGGTAGTTATGACTGATGACATCATATTTTTTTTAATGTTTGCATTTAAGAAAGTTAATAACAGGAAGTGACAATAATTTTACTTCCATGATTGGTTTCTGTTAAATTGCTAGACACCAGGTTTTATTACTGAAAAATGATGCAGAAGCAAACACATTCTCATTTTTGTAAGAATACCAAATTCTCATTTTTGTAAGAGAATACCAAATTCTCATTTTTGTAAGTGAATACCAAATTCTCATTATTTTAACATGCCAAATTTTTTTTCTGAGATACCTGTAGCTTTATTTTATTAATGAATAACTATAAGATATGAGATTCAAGTTGTAGAAAAAAAGATAGAATTATTATCTCATAACGATGATGAATTTGTTCATAATGTACATTCTACTAAAATAATATACATAAATATAGAATATATACATAAAATATTAAACCTAGACCCAAACTTTTTCAGATTATCTGGCTTTTGATAGTTATTACTGACAGAGCTTGTCAAGATGAGTGGGAAAAAGTAAGTCCTGTTAGAGGGAATTTTTTATGTGTATCGGGGACACTGATCAATTAGCACTATTCCAATTTTCAATCAGACTAATTTGATAACGTCACTTATCACAAAATATCACATAAGGCCATCACCATTAGTGAAATCATCAAACACGCTTTAATGGAATTTCAGGAACCATGGACGTCTGATTGAAAATTGGAATGGTCGAAATTGATACTGTCAGTGTCCATAATATACAAAAAAAATTCAGAAAACCTCTTTACAATCCCCTTAAGAGGAGGCTTTCTAAAGGATAAAATTACTATGGTCGAATTACAAAATGTTACCAATGAAAGCCTATACAAGATCTTGTATTTCTGACCATGCTAGCTGTCCAAAAATCTATCAAAAGGTAAAGTAATAGTCAACAGGATCAATTAACCATGTTTACATCAAACAAGGCTTGTCTCACAATCTGGTCAAATGTAGAACAAGAATTTTCTGTAGGCCAACTACAAGCACTAAATAAAGGATAATGAATAATGGATAATGAATAACAATAGGACCAGTATGCTCTAAATTCTCATTTTTTGTGAGTATGCTAATTCTCATTTTTGTGAGCATGTTAAAATTCTCATTTTTGTAAGCATGCCAAAATTCTCATTTTTTGTGAGCAAGCTAATTCTCATTTGTTGTGAGCGTGCCAGAATTCTCATTGTTTGTGAGCTTGCTAAATTCCAATTTTTTTTGTGAGCATGCTTAATTCATATTTCTTATGATGATGCCAAATTCTCCTTTGTTTTGTGAGAATCCTATGGCCAATTTCACTTCAAAATTCATTCACAATACATACCAGTATTCATCTAATATAGATTCTTAATGTTTTTAAGCAGACACTATTTGTTGTAAACATAGGTTGTCTATAAAATCAACTATTTTAAGATCATTATACACAAATAATATACAATTAATCTAAAACATAAATATACAATAGGTGTACAATATACAATAGGTGTACAATATACAAAGAAAACTCAATTTTATTTGACCATTTGACCAATAAACATTATTTGTATTTATTGAAATGAAAAAAAGTGAAACATAAACACAGGAAAAGCAATTTCTCAATCTAAGTAATAGTATATCTACAAGCTATAAACATATCACATTGTGAGTAGTTGTTGGTTTCAAAAAAAAAAATACCATATAAAAAAAATGTTTTCTTTATACTTTTTCTGTTTTACATGGAAACATAGCTTTCATTCACATCATTCCTTTTTCCTGTCCAATCAAAACTTGACCAGTTAATGTTACAAATACCAAGATATCAAAATATAATCTTCTGGGAATATCAGAATCATTTAAATCAAAGCTATAAGTGTCTCTATTATCTGCACATATGTCTATAATTATGATTTTTTGCGTTATTTTGGGTAAAATTGGTTTTATCATCTTGAAGGTATTATAAGGAATATTTACATTTCTACTATCACTCCCTTCAATGAACCAGTTACGCAAACTGGCGTTTATTTGTCGATAAACTGTAGTTTGTCATGTGACCCTATGAAGCAGTCAAAGCAGATTATATAAAACAGTGAAATTTATTCAGTTTTTCACATGATCAATTGTGTTTACACAACAAAAATGCTATTGAGACCAACGTTTAATTCTTAATTAAGTGTGAAATATGAATATGAATGTTTGAAGTTTGGTTAGTATCACTCTCACAAATTATAGACACAGTTCTTAAATTTATCACATCATATAGCATTAACCATAGCATAGCATTTTCATAATCAGAATAAAAATGTCCAAAAATAATCTGAAAGCCCCTTATCAAAGATATATAGAGTGGCCCAGAAAAAATACAACACTTTTAATTTTTTAAAAGGCTGGTATTTCAAAGCAAATAGATTATGTATTTTCTGGGTCATACAAATATATCCGAGTATGACACAACTCCACCAGTAGCAAAACAAATAGAGGTCATATGCTACATTCAATTTAGACAAATCTTAGGTAATAGTCTTACTAAATCAGAAACAATCATGACACCACATTAAAACCTTACACTAAATTTTACATTCATATACATTGATATGTATTTTTTATGTCACAATAAGGCTTCTTCTGGATGGTTAGTGTGAGACTACATAATATACAAAACAAATTGAAACACAAAAAAATTCTAAAATGGCACTCAAAAATACCAATTAACGGGTTATTGTCTAATTGTTTAACAAACATATTAATTTTGCAATTATTCCTTATAGGAAAAGAATTCAATATACAATTGTTTAAAAGCAAAACAAGAATGGGCTGAAAGACTTATATATAAGTAGACCCCCTATTCATACAAGTACATTTCTTATCAATATAAAAATGGTGTAAGTGATGAAAATATTCAGAATATAATATAATTATTTTCCTTTTAAACTGTTTTTCGGTAGGCAATACTACAGTTTTTATTAATGAAATTTATCAATTAGAATTAGAGTTATAGAATTATCATTGACATATCCATTGATCAAATACTATAATAACTCTTTCAGATAAATACTGTTATTATAACATATTACATAACATTTTAAGGTTATTTTTTACAATAAATAAAGTTATGACTATCAAAATTGATAACTTTAAAAATAATTCATAGATCCACGAGAATGATTGACAGCTGAATATTGACCAGTCCTCTTAAAATCAGCCGCCATGTTTTACCCACAAACAACTAAGCGTGTGTCATAAATGACATTAAATTTTGAATGACTCATGTGCATCTGACAAAATGGTATTACAAGTCCACCTTCTATGTGGTTGTTTGTGGTGATTGAAAACTGTATCTAAGTGGGCGGAGACTAAGCTGTTCTCCAAAAGAAATCTGATTGGATTATCTTATCACATTGACAAACTCAACTAATCAGATTCCTTGAGTTTTAAATTGCAATATAGTTGTATAAATTAAATCATTAACTTTTATTTAGATCCACAATATTACTGAAAAACCCTGTTTTCCAGAGCAAAGTTTGCTACATCATCTGTGTATGCAACACTAAAGAAATTGAGGGCATCCAACTTTAATTACAATCAATTAAATTATATTAAATAAATTAGAGTTGAAAAAGGATTTAAAAATTCTAAAGAGATTATAAACAAAAGTTATATTACAATTATATTTAATATTTCTTTATATAACTTATATAAAATATTTCATGTATTTAGAGCTGAATTATAGAAGATAAAAATGTTAACAATATACTTTAATATCCTTGATTAGGCACGCTAAAAAATTTCTCTTCAGGTCAGTTTTTCCTATAAATCACCCAAAAGATTTCTTGTTTAGTTCTAGAGAGGTCAGGTCAATCAGGTCAAACATAAAGTGAGCGGAACTCTAAAAGTGAGTTGACCTCTGTAAGAAAATGGAGTGGAACGGTGCTGCAAAAGTAATGTGAATTCTGTATGTAAAATATGTGATGTCTTTAGAGAGAATTGTGAGTTGACCTCTGTAATTGAAGTGAACTCTCGAACAAAAGTGAGTTGACCTCTGTAACTAAAATGGGTTGACCTCTGTATCTTAAGTGACCACTGTAGAAAACGTGAGGTATTCTCTAGAGCAAAAGTGAGTTGACCCTGTAACTGTTGTTAAAGTGAGTTGATCTTCTAAGACAAAGTGAGTTGAACTCCTTAGACAAAGTAACTTGAGGTGTATAACATCAGTGAGTTGACCTCCTTCACCTAGGTAAATTGAGTTGACCTCAAAGTATATCAAATTTTTCCTCTATTATTCAGCTCTATAGTATAAAACCCTTTAAATTTATCATCTAATAAAAACCTGATCAAATTTATCTATAAGAATCAACGCAAACATGTTAACATGGGATAGAGATAAGAGATTAGATTGACCTTTAGGCCAGACTAAATTAGGACCAAACACAATGGCTAAATTCATGGGTGTCATTTTATTTATAGCTTGTTTCTCTGTCACCTGTAATACAAAATACATTATTTCTTATAGAAGCTGTCAGATCACAAAAAAAAATTCCCAATATTAACAAAAAACTCATTTATTTGTGAACTCTGGAAGACAAAATTCATTCGAAATTCCCCTTTTTTCGAAGCTGAAACAAATCTCTCATTTAACATTTGATTTAGAGGGTTTTGAAAAGATATTGTTAAGTATAAGTTATAATCATAGTGATTGTACCAAACAAAACTTACTTGTGTTAAGAACTGCATGATATATTTCAGTACAATATAGTTATCTTCAGGCATTTCTTCTCGTAATAGTCTCTGTACTTCTACTAACTGTTTATTACTATCTAATACTATCAATAGAAAAACATACAAATTTACTTATCATTGTTTCTCACAAATTCACAATGTGTTTAAGTATAAGGTATTGCAATATAATATTTCGAAGTTTATCAACTAAATGTTAGAACTCCCCATACTGGCAGTGTGCCTCTATCAAGAAAGTGGGGTGCAGGAACCGGGGGCACAACTGAGAGTTTGAGATTCCAAATGCAAAAGCATTTAAATTGTGGGAGAATTGGACATTTTAGTCTGAATTAAAGTCTGAAAAATGAGTAGCTAGAAACTAAGCTCTATCAGCAAAGAGCAAAGAAAACCATATCTCCTTAAAACTTACAATGTAATCTAGTAATTGGTTCATGTAAATCATATGTTAATATAGGATCCTGAAGTTCTCTGAGGAATGTCTTTAATAAAACAGCTGGAACATGTACATCTCCAATTTCATTGAAATCTACTTCTTTACCTAAAATACAATAATAAAATATTTTCACTGCTCAATACATCAATTGTAGAGTGATATATAAAATTAAACAGAGATTGAATCATCATTTTGTTATTCAGAGTTTCACACTTTGAAATATATCTGTTTATTTCTGATATATCACCATCAGAGCAGTGCTCAATGAGGTCAATTTCGCAGCACTCTTTTTATGTTGACAAATGCATGGTAAGATGGTCTCAAGATGGTCTCACACAAATACGATACGTGTCTTGAAGTCATTAATACATACAATTAATTAATGTTACTCTACCTTCATTAAAATCACGTTGTACTTGTTTTAAAGTCACAGCACGAGCTGATCTACGGAATATACCATCTACTTCTAAAGCTGTAATTATAATCAAGGTTTGTTGTATTCAAATAATGGTGTACAGTTCTAATTTAGACACATACAACCCTTGTCACCCTAGCAAGATTTCTTTTAGCTCCATCAAAATATACGACCTTGGTATTTTGTCCTTGAAGAGCCTCATATGGAAAACAACCATCATTTGAATAAAACAATTAACTGCAGCCAGTTTTGCTACAGATTGCCCCTGTAAAAGATCCCACAACTGTCAAATGTGAAAGATTTACTAAATGCCACACAAGAGTAGAAAAACCTACCATTTTCTTTTAGAAACTCCACTGTTTGTTCAACTACAATAGGTATAATCCTACCAGAATTTTCTTTAATGCTGGAATAAATGATCAACAAAATTGAATAACTCTACTGCTGTTTCTGGTTTTCATTTTCCGTATCAAGGCATAAAGGCAACTTTCATCCTAAATTGTCCATAGTTTAGAATTGAGCTGTTTCATTTCGAAATATTGGTTGCCATAAGTAGACAGGAAAATAATAATATGACTAAAAATATTCATTTGGTATTAATTGAAAAGAAAACCAAGTTATTCACAAGATAAACTTACTATTCTAAAGTAACACCAAATTGCTGTGTTTTTAAAGGTCCAGCTTTCTCTAAAGTAGTTGACTGGTAGGGGTATTGAGGTTTTAATGCATTTACTCTTTTAGCGTCAAACCTATAAAATAGAAAAAATAAATCAATTTCAGTCAAAGATATGTTAAATTTTAGCTCCATTTATATTTATAATCAGATTCTTTTGCCAAATTTGACAATAAGGAAAAAATGTTGGAAAGCACACACAGAATGAGATGGCTGTTCCTCTCCAACATTTTGTGTAAATTGGCATTTCATAGACATTGGCAGATAATCATCACCATGATTGCTGTGAATCTTTGAACATGTCCAAAACCACAGCACAAAGAATGTCCAAGAGATTGAATGCTGAAGAAAAAGGACAAAAATTTAATTTCTGTATTCTCTCCCTTTAGCAATCACAGTTTTACACAGCGAGTCTTCACAGGGAGAAATAATATGAACATAATCAGACTATCACAACCATGCAAAGGTACATTTGCTAAGAATATACTTTAATTTCTTATGGTCTAGCTACTATAAGTATAGTACACTTTTATGTTTAGCAAATCTTTCAGTGTGACAAGGTTTGCGCTCGATTGAAGTGTTCTGAACAGGTTCCGTCTGTTCCAATTCTGGAATCAAACGAATGATACGAAAGCAAATAGTCAAATCTAAAATTTTCCAATCTATTTCTTTGCCATTTTGAATTTGACTTCACCTACTATTTTTTCAGAACAAGTGGAAAGCATTTTGAACTCTGTTCTCTTGTTGATTGGATATCCACATTGATCCTGAATGTACAGAACATATAATAATACAATACTTACTCTAATACAGGTAAAGGAACTGTAAGCTGATCAAAATGTAGATGATTTTTTAACTCCACTAAATAATCGACATACATAACTTTCTTTCCAAATTTAGCACTTAATATAGGTTTAAATATATTCCACAATATCTTGATAAAATTTGTAGGATGCACTAGATACAAAGCCTTTAAATTCTTCTTATATCTGAAAACAAGAGCAATTTTTATATAACTGACTTTTTGTCAAAAACTTTGTAACCATGACAACTTTCTTTTTAACCAAGATAACCAAGATTTTCTATCAAAAGTTTTATAAGCTTGTATTAACCAAGATACCATACTTTCTATCAAAAGCTTTATAAGCTTGAATTAACCAAGATAACTTATTTTCTATCAAAAGCTTTATAAGCTTGAATTAACCAAGATAACTTATTTTCTATCAAAAGCTTTATAAGCTTGTATTAACCAAGATAACTTATTTTCTATCAAAAGCTTTTTAAGCTTGAATGAACCAAGATAACTTATTTTCTATCAAAAGCTTTATAAGCTTGTATTAACTCAGATAACTTATTTTCTATCAAAAGCTTTATAAGCTTGTATTAACTCAGATAACTTACTTTCAATCAAAAGCTTTATAAGCTTGTATAAACCAAGATACCATACTTTCTATCAAAAGCTTTATAAGCTTGTATAAACTAAGATAACTTACTTTCTATCAAAAGCTTTATAAGCTTGTATAAACTAAGATAACCAAGATTTTCTATCAAAAGCTTTTTAAGCTTGTAATAACCAAGATATCATATTTTCTATCAAAAGCTTTATAAGCTTGTATAAACTAAGATAACTTATTTTCTATCAAAAGCTTTATAAGCTTGTATTAACCAAGATAACTTACTTTCTATCAAAAGCTTTATAAGCTTGTATAATCTAAGATAACTTATTTTCTATCAAAAGCTTTATAAGCTTGTATAAACTAAGATAACTTACTTTCTATCAAAAGCTTTATAAGCTTGTATTAACCAAGATAACTTATTTTCTATCAAAAGCTTTATAAGCTTGTATTAACCAAGATAACTTATTTTCTATCAAAAGCTTTATAAGCTTGTATTAACCAAGATAACTTATTTTATATCAAAAGCTTTATAAGTTTATATTAACCAAGATAACTTACTTTCTATCAAAAGCTGTATAAGTTTGTATTAACCAAAATAACTTACTTTCTATCAAAAGCTTTATAAGCTTGTATTAACCAAGATAACTTATTTTCTATCAAAAGCTTTATAAGTTTATATTAACCAAGATAACTTACTTTCTATCAAAAGCTGTACAAGTTTGTATTAACTAAGATAACTTACTTTCTATCAAAAGCTTTATAAGCTTGTATTAACCAAGATAACTTATTTTCTATCAAAAACTTTATTAGCTTGTATTAACCAAGATAACTTATTTTCTATCAAAAGCTGTACAAGTTTGTATTAACTAAGATAACTTATTTTCTATCAAAAGCTTTATAAGCTTGTATTAACCAAGATAACTTATTTTCTATCAAAAGCTTTATAAGATAACTTATTTTATATCAAAAGCTTTATAAGCTTGTATTAACCAAGATAACTTATTTTCTATCAAAAACTTTATAAGCTTGTATTAACTAAGATAACTTACTTTCTATCAAAAGCTTTATAAGCTTGTATTAACCAAGATAACTTATTTTCTATCAAAAGCTTTATAAGCTTGTATTAACTAAGATAACTTACTTTCTATCAAAAGCTTTATAAGCTTGTATTAACTAAGATAACTTATTTTCTATCAAAAGCTTTATAAGCTTGTATTAACCAAGATAACTTATTTTCTATCAAAAACTTTATAAGCTTGTATTAACTAAGATAACTTACTTTCTATCAAAAGCTTTATAAGCTTGTATTAACCAAGATAACTTATTTTCTATCAAAAGCTTAATAAGCTTGTATTAACTAAGATAACTTACTTTCTATCAAAAGCTTTATAAGCTTGTATTAACTAAGATAACTTATTTTCTATCAAAAACTTTATAAGCTTGTATTAACTAAGATAACTTACTTTCTATCAAAAGCTTTATAAGTTTGTATTAACCAAGATAACTTATTTTATATCAAAAGCTTTATAAGCTTGTATTAACCAAGATAACTTATTTTCTATCAAAAGCTTTATAAGCTTGTATTAACCAAGATAACTTATTTTCTATCAAAAGCTTTATAAGCATGTATTAACCAAGATACCATACTTTCTATCAAAAGCTTTATAAGCTTGTATTAACCAAGATAACTTATTTTATATCAAAAGCTTTATAAGCATGTATTGACCAAGATACCATACTTTCTATCAAAAGCTTTATAAGCTTGTATTAACCAAGATACCATACTTTCTATCAAAAGCTGTACAAGTTTGTATTAACCAAGATGACTTACTTTCTATCAAAAGCTTTATAAGCTTGTATTAACTGAGATAACTTACTTTCTATCAAAAGCTTTATAAGCTTGTATTAACTAAGATAACTTATTTTCTATCAAAAGCTTTATAAGCTTGTATTAACTAAGATAACTTACTTTCTATCAAAAGCTTTATAAGCTTGTATTAACTAAGATAACTTACTTTCTATCAAAAGCTTTATAAGCTTGTATTAACTAAGATAACTTACTTTCTATCAAAAGCTTTATAAGCTTGTATTAACCAAGATAACTTATTTTCTATCAAAAACTTTATTAGCTTGTATTAACCAAGATAACTTATTTTCTATCAAAAACTTTATAAGTTTATATTAACCAAGATAACTTATTTTATATCAAAAGCTTTATAAGTTTATATTAACCAAGATAACTTATTTTCTATCAAAAGCTGTACAAGTTTGTATTAACCAAAATAACTTATTTTCTATCAAAAGCTTTATAAGCTTGTATTAACTAAGATAACTTACTTTCTATCAAAAGCTTTATAAGCTTGTATTAACTGAGATAACTTACTTTCTATCAAAAGCTTTATAAGCTTGTATTAACTAAGATAACTTATTTTCTATCAAAAGCTTTATAAGCTTGTATTAACTAAGATAACTTACTTTCTATCAAAAGCTTTATAAGATAACTTATTTTCTATCAAAAGCTTTATAAGCTTGTATTAACTAAGATAACTTATTTTCTATCAAAAGCTTTATAAGCTTGTATTAACTAAGATAACTTACTTTCTATCAAAAGCTTTATAAGCTTGTATTAACTAAGATAACTTATTTTCTATCAAAAGCTTTATAAGCTTGTATTAACCAAGATAACTTATTTTCTATCAAAAGCTTTATAAGCTTGTATTAACCAAGATAACTTATTTTCTATCAAAAGCTTTATAAGCTTGTATTAACCAAGATAACTTATTTTCTATCAAAAACTTTATAAGCTTGTATTACCAAGATAACTTATTTTCTATCAAAAGTTGTACAAGTTTGTATTAACCAAAATAACTTACTTTCTATCAAAAGCTTTATAAGCTTGAATTAACCAAGATAACTTATTTTCTATCAAAAGCTTGTACAAGTTTGTATTAACCAAGATTACTTATTTTCTATCAAAAGCTTTACAAGTTTGTATTAACCAAAATAACTTACTTTCTATCAAAAGCTGTACAAGTTTGTATTAACCAAGATAACTTACTTTCTATCAAAAGCTTTATAAGCTTGTATTAACCAGGATAACTTATTTTCTATCAAAAGTTGTACAAGTTTGTAATAACCAAGATAACTTACTTTCTATCAAAAGCTTTATAAGCTTGAATTAACCAAGATAACTTACTTTCTATCAAAAGCTTTATAAGCTTGTATTAACCAAGATAACTTTGGTTTATTACTACTCCGTAAACCATAATGAAAATAAACTAGAACATAATCTTCTTCAACATATTTATCTAGAGTGTGTTTAATATATCTGAAAATAGGAAACAATAGAAAATATTATTTCGTTATCCTGACAATAAGCCCATTGTTTAATACAAATTAGTCTCAAATTCAATTTCAATAAAATATGAATCTAGGATCTTCGCATAGTAGAATACTCTCCTTAATAACTTATTGCTGATGTTCAGTGAGTTTCCTTGCTTATATGCCAAAGTCTAATTAGCTTTGCTGATGAGAATTGTTTGTCCAAAACACACATCAGCAGCATGATATGAGCTCTATTTTGCAAGTACAATCTCAGCAATATTACACAAAGAGAGCTGTTACAATCATACTTTGTATAATTTCAATATTTGGTACTCACTCTAACAATCTCTGATGATCAAAGTTTTTATTGGACGGTAATTTACATGATGAAAATACTATAACTTTTCTACCAAATAAATCATCACCTAGACAAATAAATATAGTAAATATACTACATGCTGAATATTATTATATCCAGTGGCATAGCTCTTATTAGAATGAAAGAAGCTGTTATGTATTTGTGAGACGAATTCTAAACTACTTTCCACTTTGCTAAAGTTTAATTTAACCATTAGCAATTTTTAGAATTTCATGCAACAATGAGATATAAAAGCAAGTAATCCCAATAAAAAATAGATTGCAGCATCCCTTTACTGAAAATATTGCTCTTGAGAAAACAAATCATTATGCTGACCAAAAATACAGCCTGTCTTGCAAATTCCATAGCACTTACCTGCAACCTCAATAATTCCATATCTTTCTACATCATAGAACTCACTTACAGTTTCTTCATCCTGTAATACATTAATAGACAATTCATTAAGAATAATTACAAATAATAAGACTATTAATGACTATACAACCCTGAAAGAAGATGTCTTAATATTTGTTTTACCAACCGAGAGCTCAATTTCCACTGTCTGTGTCCCTTTTCAGATTTACAGTGGCAACAGTTAAGGGTGCCAATATGTCATATCAAGAACATTATCTGTAAGGGAAAAATTTAAATAATAATTTAAACTGCCCTCAAGTTCATTTTCATTAATTGCAGATGAACCAAAGGTCCAGTTGTCATTCTGAAGAGTACAAAGGATAGCTAAAATTGAGCTCTACAGGCTTCTAAAGCAAATATTCAGATTACCAGTATATTATTTTTTATATAATCTACTTTTACCTTCAATAAAGCCATTCTATTTCACTGTTCACTCTATTTCACTAAATAGCACATAATATTCTAAAACTCAGGTACACTGAAGTTTAGTTTGTATAGGAGAATAAAACTATTATACCTCTAAATGAAACTAGGTCTCTGATATTTAAAAAGGTCAATGCTTCAAACATTTGACATGCATGACCTTTTAAGGAAATATTGATTAATGTTTTCACAACTTGAATTGATTTTTTTAGCTATGGTAGGGAATAAATTTAAAGGGATACAATTGTTAACAAAACCAGATAAAGCAGTCTGTTAAGCTTTTGGGAGGGGGAGGGGGGGGGGGGGGGGGGGGGTTGGTAATTAGAGTATCTGAAATTGACGAGCTGTCATTTTAACATTAAACCACAGATAATTCTAGACACACATGGATTTGAAGGCTCAAATTGTGCCAGTGAGCTCTGATTGACTTAGCACAATAATTTCCATTTCAGAGAATTGAGTACGAATGGGAAAATAAAATGGCGCATCTGTCCCTTTAAAATATCAAAATCCAGGATACAGTTCTTTCCTATTGAATAAAATTGGAAAGTCCAAAGGCCGTATCTGATACTTAATTACAAAACATGTACATTGAGTTTTCTTAACTTCTAACACAAGCTCTTGTCAACTTTAAATAGCTAAGGTTAAGGGTTACCTATAATATCTATTAAAACATAATATTTAATCGTCCTCGTCCTTATAAGATAAGTAAAACATCATCGTCCCAAAAGTTACTAATAATATCTAAAGGCATTTGCACAGTGGTTAGTTTAATGGAATAACACAGACCACAAATTTATGGCAGACTAAAAATTGGAATGGTCAAATCAAATCCCATATACACTTATCAAATTTATAAAACTTTTACAATCTTTTAAATACATACTGGAGTGGTTCCTAATTCTTTTTCAAAATCTTCATCTATTAAACCATCAGGAGTTATGGCACCACTTCTAAAGGCACCACCTTCTGTTTCTTTAGCTAATTCTGCAAACAAAACAGATCTTAAATCAATATAATCAAATGTGCTGTTTTCTAAAAGTTCAGTATCATGTGCCACTAATACTATTCTTTGTAAAATATACTTAATCTACCACATTTCATCCCAAAATAGGATGGAAAATCTATTCTGTGATGTGTTCATGTGACAAATACTGCACATTTTGACCAAAAACATGAAATGGTAACAATTGGTCATAAATGCTACCACATTTCATCGAAATTGGAATATGGAAAATGTATTCTTTATTGTGTTCACAAGTCAATAATATTGATATTTCAACCAAAGTCAAGAATTGTAGAGGCGCATTTCAATTTGAATCTGAATTTTCATCAGTTTGTCAAAACACCTGAACAGAATTGAGCCATTATCATGAAAGCAGACAATACTTGGACTAATTATATAACATTTTGATCATAGATAAGCATAGACAATATGCTACATATTATGATAGAAGCAATTCATGTTCTATTTAGTTAGTCATGCATAAACTATGTTTTCCCTAGTTTAGAACTGTCAGTTTAAAATATATTTACATTAAACATTAGATACATGAGAATCAAAATATATTTAAATTAAACTATAGATACATGAGAATTAAAATATATTTAAATTAAACTCTAGATACATGAGAATTAAAATATATTTAAATTAAACATTAGATACATGAGAATTAAAATATATTTAAATTAAACTATAGATACATGAGAATTAAAATATATTTAAATTAAACGTTAGATACATGAGAATTAAAATATATTTAAATTAAACTCTAGATACATGAGAATTAAAATATATTTAAATTAAACTCTAGATACATGAGAATAAAAATATATTCAAATTAAACTGTAGATACATGAGAATCAGAATTTTCCTTTCCAAAGTAAATTTCAAAGAATACCAGGAAAAGAATTATCATATTACAATGGGAATATTTATATTAGTATAAGTTATAGAATGATAATTAGTGCAAATAGTACAGGGCTTTTCAACCTTTTTCTATCAGGATCCTTGATCAATTATTACTCTCCTTCACCCTATAAATCCTTACTATTAACCCCTTCCCCTATAAATCCTTAATATTAACCCTCTTACCCCTATAAATCCTAACTATTAACCCTCTTTTAAAAATCCCAACTATTAACCCTCTTACCCCTATAAATCCTAACTATTAACCCTCTTACCCCTATAAATCCTAACTATTAACCCTCTTACCCCTATAAATCCTTACTATTACCCCCTTCACCCTATAAATCCTTAATATTACCCCCTTCACCCTATAAATCCTTACTATTAACCCCTTCCCCTTATAAATCCTTATTATTAACCCCTTCGCCTTATAAATCCTTACTATTACCCCTTCACCCTATAAATCCGTAATATTACCCCCTTCACCCTATAAATCCTTACTATCAACCCCTTCCCCTTATAAATCCTTATTATTAACCCTCTTACCCCTATAAATCCTTACTATTAACCCCTTCCCCTATTTAACCCTCTTACCCCTATAAATCCTAACTATTACCCCCTTCACCCTAAAAAAACTTACTATTTCCCCCTATAAATACTTACTATTTCACCCTCTTACCCCTATAAATCCTTACTATTACTCCCCTTCCCCCTATAAATCCTTACTATTTCCCCCTATAAATCCTTACTATTTACCCCCTCTTTCTCCTATAAATCCTTACTATTTACCCTCTTTCTCCTATAAATCCTTATTATTACCACCCCTAGGTTGAAAACCTCTTAAATAGTGAATATAAGAATCCAAAAAGTAGCAAATTCAAAGGATTAAAAACAGGTTATCCAGTGCATCAGAGGAAATCATTTTTCAATTCTCAAAAAGTTACTATTTTTCTAAATCTCCCATTCTTGAATTTAAAAAATAATAATAAAATGTATTTCTGAAGGACAAACGTGTTAAAAATCCAATATATCATGATGGTTCAGATATAAAATCTCATTGTGTTTGGTTTGTAATCAATATAATATATATCTGACATCTTGTCAATAATTCTATACATACAGAGAAATAAAAAAGAAAATACATGAAGGTTTGGCATATCTCTGATCCTTACATACATAATAAGTTTCATCAAAATCTATTCAAAGAGCTGTAAATGCTACAGTTTCTAAAAATGATGCCAGTCTAAATGTTGAACACCTTACTTCAATTGCATAAGAGCCAAAATGAACTGGATAGCTCAAATTTATCACATAGTAATTCTTATATTTAGATGATTGCATCCCTTCTTAGAAATTATAAAATGAGAATAAACATATAGGCTTTCCTCTCTGTTGTCAGGTGACTGCTTCAATTGTATATGGACTATCATGGGTACAAATAACTATGAGGCAATATCAAATCATCATGCTACAAATTATGTTTTTTTGTGGGAAAATGTCAATTGCACCACCTCAAACAATTAAAGCTATCTTGAAAAAAAATTACATGTACAATGTTATAATTACAAAAATTCCAGGAAGTTTTTCATTGCCTGAAGCATAAGCAACACTATTTGTTCAAGAACTGTGTTAGAAAAGTAATAAGTAATAATAATCAATAGTAGAATGGTAGATAGTATACAGGAAGGTATTAGTAACTAATATACAGTACAGTACTAAACTTGATGGTATCAGGTCACTAATTAATTGTATTGACAATCTAACACATACTAATTAGTAAGTCAACTACAAGTATCACGCATTAGAAGAAATCATTTGAGAAATAATTTGATGACTATATCCAATGATGTAAATAATTTGATGACTGAATCCAATGATGTAAATAATTTGATGACTGAATCCAATGATGTAAATAATTTGGTGACTATATCCAATGATGTAAATAATTTGATGACTGAATCCAAGGATGTAAATAATTTGAGTACTGAATCCAAGGATGTAAATAATAATTTGATGACTAAATCTAATGATGTAAATAATTTGATGACTGAATCCAAGGATGTAAATAATCTGATGACTGAATCCAAGGATGTAAATAATTTGATGACTATATCCAATGATGTAAATAATTTGATGACTGAATCCAAGGATGTAAATAATTTGAGTACTGAATTCAAGGATGTAAATAATAATTTGATGACTAAATCCAATGATGTAAATAATTTGATGACTGAATCCAATGATGAAAATAATTTGAATACTGAATCCAAGGATGTAAATGATAATTTGATGACTAAATCTAATGATGTAAATAATTTGATGACTGAATCCAATGATGTAAATAATTTGATGACTGAATCCAAGGATGTAAATAATTTGATGACTGAATCCAAGGATGTAAATAATAATTTGATGACTAAATCTAATGATGTAAATAATAATTTGATGACTGAATCCAAGGATGTAAATAATTTGAGCATTGAATGATGTAAGTAATTTGATGACTGAATCCAATGATGTAAATAATTTGAGCATTGAATGATGTAAGTAATTTGATGACTGAATCCAATGATGTAAATAACTTGAGTACTGAATCCAAGGATGTAAATAAATTGACTGAATCTAAAAAAGTAAATAATTTGATGACTGATTCCAATGAAGGGCAAAATTCACCCCTTTAAGTAAAATCAGCCCAAAAATTAAGGATAGATTATTAAAGTGAGAAAAGTCAAGTCTAAACAGTAATCTACAGTAAACAGTTAAGGTTAGTTTAGATAATTCTCTCAAACATCTCAACAAACTTAGTGATTACAGTAAATAAACACTAAACCTACCAGCCAAATACACTGTAATATTAGTACAGACAATACCAAATACAACAGAAATTAGCTTTACTGTTCGCAGCTAATACTTTGCTGAGAAAGAGTTTGATGAAGAGTTCCATATATTGCAGAAATGGTCATATTCTGTAGTAGACTTGGGAATTTCATGCCTGACTAAATTCCATGATGCATAGATGTAATAATTGGCATGCAATATAATCTATGTATCTTAATTTTATCCTGTAGTTGGTTTAAAGGGATGTAGTCTGAAAGATCAGAATTTAGGCGAACTGTAACACTTTTTAAAATGAAAAGTCTCATCTCATTTATTTTCATTTCTTAACAAAACCAAACACTTGCCTTACAAAAGAAACAATTCTAAATCAATTTGATTATATTGTAGATGAATCCAAGCTAAATGTCTTAGTAGTAACTAAGTAAATGACATCATGAATGATTCCAATACTCTAACCAATTGTGCCACAGTCCCTCCTCAAATTGAAGACAACTGAACTATTGATTTGAGGACTACATCCCTTTAAGATTGAGAATTTTAGTGTGTGTAGTTAATGCATGCTTTTAGGCTATTTATTATTCAATCAATGTTTTAATTAGTATATAACTAACACTTGTTAATTGTTAATCAATATATTAAACTAATTAATGTGGTTATTTATTATTCAAATACCTTTATCATCAAACAAAATTCCTTAAATATAAAAAATACAACATATACACATTAATACAATATTATTACATAACCAAGATGCAAGCTAATCCATAGGCATACTTTATTATGTTACGAAATTTATAGTCATAATATGTAAATAAGGTCTATTTCCACCATACTGACTTTCTTCCATGATGTCAGTGGTTGGAGTAATTACCAACAGACTGGACAATACTATTATAAAGCCAAATGTCTTCATAATCTAACCAACATTTTCTGGAATTTCAAGAAACCCAGATGTTGGGTAGGGAAATCAAAATAATGCAAATAGACACACATATGTGTCCTAAATTTTTGAATAATTAAATACAATAAAACATTTTTTAATTGAAAATTGGATTCTGTTTTTAAAGATAAAGAAGATGATCACAAAAAAAGTTAAAATAAAGAAAAAGGAGAAGATGACAAAAGAAAAGGAGAAGATGGTCAAAATAGAAGAAACAGCAAAGATATCAAATGAAAAGGAAGAAGATGGCAAAGCTAAAGGGAGAAGATGGATAAAGATAAAGGGAGAAGACGGCAAAAGATGAGAAGAAGATCTGACCAATTCTGTCTATATAATGTTCTATTATGATGATGATTTTGAATTTGTAGACATTCATCATTATTCACACCCACATCTCATGCCATAACTAATCTGTTACTAGGCAACACTAAATAAACAAAATGATAAAATTTCAATCTTGTTTATAGAATCAAATCTAAGTAAAGGCAGTATCTTTTTTCACAAAAGGCATTCATGATCGTATAATTATTCCACGAAGTCACTGTTACATAAAACTCTTCCAGCATAGTACACTAATAAAATAATTTCTGATGCATGATGATTTATGTAAGGATGGGGTTCGTGCGGACAAGTTAGAATTAAGCCCCAGCAAAATTCTTCAGTTCAGCGGCGACTGATTCATCTACAGTATTTTTATACAAAATCAAAAAGATAAAGATTTTGATACATTTTTGGTAGCTCAAAATTGTCAGAAATGAGTTCTTTGGGTCTTTAATTCTTCAAATTTTCTGAGTAGAAAATCTGAGCCCCAGCACCAATTCATTCCTGGCGATGGGGCTGACTAGAAGACTAAAGTGTTTGATCGCCTGTAAGAAACTAAGGTCACATCATTTTAATAAGTTGTAATGAACATCGAAACTGAAATTTGATATATCTGGAATTATGCTTGAAAAGGAATGTCTGTAAGTTTTGTTGACGCAATAGTGATGTCATACACACCACAGATAGATAGAAAACTGGCTTGATTGAAATGAAAGCAATGAATAGCCCCGATACATATAAAAAGTTAAGAAAAACCTTTACAATCCTGTTAAGATGCTAGCAGAAATAGTTTTTAAAAAATGTTCATTTCGATCAGATTTTAAATACTAATATTAGAATTGGCAGTCTTTTCCTAGACTACAGCTATAACAGGATATATGTTATAAAAACACAGGAATGGTATAACTCTAAAGATATCTATCTAAATATCATAGACTGAACTATTTCCGATATTTCTTGGACTAATGAAGCAGTAAATGGCAATCTAATAGCAGTTCTAATTCCACAATAAGTTCATCTCCACAATGTCAAGATATTACAAACTCTGTCTCATACCTTGACATCATAAGGTACCTATCTTTTATCATCGAAGTTTGTAAATATAGTGATTTGATACAGTATATATACAGTAACAAATACAACCAGAGAGATTTATAATATATGGCTTATTTGTTTAATGTCTTTCCGTTGAGGGCTCTGATTGGCTATTCTCACTTGCATATAATCTAATCAAATTGCTGCATTTACAAACTTCTGAGATACAAGAAAAGTGCCAAATGATGTCAAGGTATTAGACATAATACCTTGACATTGTGAAGATGTAATAATACATCATTATCTGGTCAACATGCTCTGTCATGAAATCTCAATTATTAGTGAATGAAAGATCCATTATATTCTGCAAGAAAAAATTCCCAAGTGAATCAATCATGCATTGTTAAAATAGATCACATTCCTGGAATTCCATTGTCTGGGACAATTGTCCTGTTAATCAATATATTGACCATTAATAAACAGACAGATTTTATCAATTATTAAAGGGATTGTTATGAGTTTCAGTGGATAGAAAATATTCAGTCACAATTAGCACTTTCCCAAATCAAACTTGTTGACTAAAAAAAAAAAAAATTCTTCACTTAGGCTCTAATGGAACAAGTCAACAACAAGTCAGCAATTATGATAAATTAAATCAATTCCATTATTTCACATTTTAACTTTGGAAAACACAATTATTATCTATGCTTGGAAATTGATAGTTACTATGGTATCATAGCAGTTTAAAACTAGCAAGCAAGCGATCATGAAGACTATAAAGCATATATTGGAAAGGATAAATTGCAACTTGACATCCTATATCCACTACTAAAGTTAATAAACAAATATCATATTAAATATTATTTTAACAGCATTCAAATTAAATAACATACTCAATCATTAATTAGGAAATGATTAATTTTGTTCAGTTGTTGTAGAAACTACATGCTGCTATGTCTAAACCTATGTTCACATTACATAATACAACTATGTCAATATCTCAGGAACATTATTCTAAAAAAACTTAAATTTTGTTTAAAATAAAAAAATTGTTCACTTTGCAATCTGTACAGGTAGTGAAGTCAAATACAACCAGAAACAATTTCAATTGTTTTGACAGCAACAAACTTATTACACAAGTGTTATTGTTTGAATTCTGTTATAATTTTGAATTTGATGGCATTAAAAATAAGGTATCAAATAAATTTCAAAATGAAACCAGCTGTCCATGGAATAATGGAATAAAATTTGGTTATACATTTCAAGCACTTATCATATTTGAAAACGGAGTCCAAGCATTTAAAAGTTTCAAGAATAATGTCCAAGAAGTTGAGAAAACCTAAACAACATCTGTCAGCATGAACATGATCAAACAATGTCCTACAAAAAAATATTAGCCAAGACAATGAGAGCAGCCATTTTGTTAAAGAGACATTCCTGTTAATTCTACATCATCATCAAATGTATTGTGTTTAACACAGCATTCCAATCACCTTACCAAAATCCCAGGGCCGTATCTTATAAGCTGGATAGTCAGGGTAATCATCTAGATCTAATAAAAGCAAGATAAATATCAGACAAAATATAATAGTGAAGCTAGCTTTAAATATTGAAGTGGCAAATAGTAATTGGCTAGTGAATAACAGAATAAAATAACTTGGATAACAATTACTTTGACATTGGTAAGCTCGTCATCTTCATGAATAACAATATTTGTAAAAGTAATTGTTATCCATAAAATTGTTCATTTAATCTTTTAATTTTAAGCTTTAAACTTGCAACTATAGTAAGTGAAAAAGCTTGATTAAAACAACAGTATTTGAATCAGTAAATAGTAATTGGATAATGAATAACTGGATACTATAACAATTACTTTGACATAACTTGATGTAAATTACCTAATTAGATAATAGAATATAAGTTGTTATAATATAATTCATAAATGTAATTGTTAGTCATAAGCTATTGTAAGTCAAGAGTTATTTGTAAGCTTATTAGAATTTTAAGCTTGCACTGCTTACTGAAAATGTAAGCTTAAAATAAAACCTGAAGCTGAAAAAACCTTTAAATAATAACTTAATAATGATCATAAAAACTTTAAAGATACGTCTCATTGAGCTTGAAGCAGCTTTAGATTTTGAACAGTCAAGCTTATTTGCAACCCTAAAAATCTCAAAATGGCAGAATGCATAATAATTGACCAAAAGCATAAATCAAATAATAACATACAAAAAAATATTGTGATAAATGCCTTTAACATATTGCATTGCATATCATTATTGATAAATCAATGTAATATGTCACACACATAGAATGATATCAATATGCAATTCAGCATTAAATAGAATACCATATACTACATGTACAGATATTAAACACCCTACCAAAAGTTATGAAATGTTATAGCTCTAAGCTAAAAGGCATCTTAAAATAATTTATCTTAAAGGAATACTACCTCTTAGAATGGAGATCAAATTTAAAGTCTCAAACTTGGTCAACAAGTGTATATATTCATCAGTTGGACATACCAGTCGCCATGACTAAAGACTAGAATCTCTATATAAGACGAAATATCCATTTAACTTCATCATTATTGAAACATGCTTCTAAGCAATTTTTTATCATATTAAGAGGTAGTATACCTTTAATCATATCAATTATTCATTTATTTATACATGGAGCCTTGTGTTTGATTAATCATAACTTTAAAATCATTTTATAAAGATGATGCAGACCACTGAAATGAATGATGTGAGGGGCCTCAGGAGGACAGAAATTTAATTGCTTTCCGTTCTTATTGACAATTTTATCATCTTCTAACAACTACTATGGAATGGATGATGGCCAATTAAAATCAGAGTGACAACCACATTTTTATTAAAGTGAATCAAGTGAGAAGTTTTGTTGTCAGTGCGCTCTGATAATATAACCAGAGCGTCCAGAAGCCACCAATGCTAACAGTTGTTGAAAGTGCAGTTGCTCTTTTGGAGGTAGCAAGGTGAATTGTGTCAATTCAATAGATCTATTACAAGGGTTGGTTAAACTGTTTCAGGCCTACCTAACTTAAGATTATGGGACAGTCATTCAACCATCAAACATTGATCAGCCCATTATGACAAACAGGGGCTGTTGATTTGGCTTTATTTGCCAGACATGACCAGCAGGGCAGCTCAAATGTCCGACAGTCAATATCCTTTTCCGGACACCAAGCATAGGTCCATGACAGTCCAAAAAAAACTTCATACAGTAAACAACCAGGCCATGTTGACATTAATGAACTTTTGTTAATGCATATTTTACTGTAACACATAAGAAGTTCTTTCTGTCAAGAATAAGGAAGCTTAGGGTTGATATGAGATATGTATTTTTAGGAAGGGATGTGCAAAAGTAAATCAGTAAAAAATTTCACAGTGTTTTGTTTTATCAAGATTTCTGATCATAAAGGATATTACTCTGTGAGACAAGTCAAAGAGATTTCACACTGAATGAACATGTAAATGACATGCCTATAATTTTACTACATGATACAAATATGTCACTGAACAATGAGA